TGTGCTTGTCCCAAAGACAGCGTGATATAGCTTTTTATCTTGTCTAAAAGTTTCGCTATTTTCCATATTGTCGGAAATAAAGTGGGTTTTATACAAGACAGTAAAATTTTTAAAAATTTTTGACTTATATTGTCAAGGCTTTCAGCATTAGACTTAACTTTAAGGACACTTGCAAGGACATCACTTTGAGCTACGCACACAAAGCTAAAACTATTATCACAGGGGGTATTAAGTTATGAAACTCATCAGTTCTATAGTGCTTCAATTTGGTGTATGCCAAATCTCAAAGATCAATTAAATTTTTAGCATTATAGTCAAACCAAAGATTTTTTGGCTGAAATACTTTAGTTTTCAGTGGAACAAACTTGGTAAACACACATTAACATTTAAAACACTTAATTGACAGTCAATACTAGGGCATTGACACATACATATAAGACCAGTTACACATATTTTAATTTACTATTTACATATATTACACCACCATCATGTCTTACTCGATTTGAACGGTAAACATTATAATTATCTCACTTAACTTAACATAAATTAAACATAAACCAAGTCTCAGACACACAGATCACATCCATATTTGACTCAATATAAAGTGAATTAAACTCATTGCAGGGAAAACTTAGTGTTTTTATGTGATAAACCTTTAAACTATTTTTATAATTGCAAAAAACTTTTATCAAGCTACTCGCCACCATTGTTATTTATAACTATTCTTACCAAATGCGTTTTTACAAAAATATTTTGTTGGCGGCTTACGGCAATATGGGCGTTTGTGGGAGCGGCACCCTGCTGAAACAAATTTGCGCTGCGCAGGAAGCCCAAGAATCTGCATGCCTAACAGTTTCCGAGATCTCAGCGTTCATGCGGACAGACGGACATGGATGGATCGACTCGGCTAGTGATCCTGATCAAGAATATATATAGTTTATGGGGTCGGAAACGCTTCCTTCTACCTGTTACATGCTTTCCGACGAATCTAGTATACCCTTTTACTCATCAAGTTATTACAGCTACGGAAAAAGGGAGCATACTTTTACACCCGTTACTTGTACAGTAAAAGGGTATACTAGATTCACCACAAACCGTCCACAAACGTCAAAAAATCGTAAGTATGAACGGATATCTCGGATACTATCAAGGATAGAGAACTGGGTCTTCAGATTTGGATTCCGTAGCCTTGTACGCAGCGCAAGTTTGTTACGCAAATATGCCACGCCCACTCTAACGCCCACAATCTATCTATGCCGGTAGCGCACGAAGTTTTCATGCTAGAAAAAAATGTTAACTAAAATGTATTAGTCTCGTCTATACCTATAGATTGACCCAAAAAAAAGTTTGCCATGCCCACTCTAACGCCCATAACGCCTAAATCTGACTACCGCCCACATAACCATATATTGAGATGACGGATATGTGACGCATTTCAATCTCGTTTTACTGCTTGCATATCTCCATTTCCCGTTGGTCCCTTTAGCTGAGTAACGGGTATCTGATAGTGGAGGTACTCGACTATATCATACTTCCTTGTTCAAATCGTCTTGAAAGTTTTTTTGCTGCCGTGATTTCGTCCCTAATCATGGCACTTGATAAACTTAGCAGTCAGCTTGTGCATTGGCGTGAGGTCTATGATATTATCAATGATAGTACGCCTTGGGTCTTGGTCATGTGACCTTTATGACGGTCAGGTAATGCCACGTCACAGCAAGTCGGTTTATGATCGGGGTAGGTCTTGCGTGCGTCTTGACTATTATGGTAACATGTTTATGACTCATTCGTGGAAAAGAGAGAATCTTTGACAATTTTGCAGTTAATGATTCTGGGACGGAAACACAAGTGTCAACACATCTGAGAAACATTAACTTGTGAGATATATTGTGTTTCTTAATTCCTAATCAGTAACGCACTCATAGGACATCGTGGGGTCAAACCTAGACATGCACCATTGAAGTTGATATGAAGAGGAGGTGAAGGGCAAAAGAGAGGCTGCACCGGGCAGGTGCTCTCGCGAAAGTCCTTAAAATCTCGCGATTGTGGAGGGAAAATCTGGCGGAGAGGGTTTCCTTCCCTTTCCCATTATGACTTACCGTTCCATTGGAGGGCCGCGTCCCCGAGCGTTAGATCAGGTCATGGGAAACCCCAAACTTTCTCTTTGTATATGTACATTACCGGGCTGCTCTACAGATCTTTGGCAAGAGGTGCCGGAATCTCGGCTAAACCCTAGAAAACGGATAGCTAAGAGAAACAAAAGGCGTTAAAAGAAGACAAGGAACACACCATTGCCAACCCCACCGCTAAGGCGGCTCACCGCAAAATGGGGCTCTGGCGACCGAGCAGGGGCTGTATATCTCCCAATAATAAATTCGTGGGTTAACCCAGGGCCACCGATGGATCCCGATGGCCGATCTGTTTACTCGAATAATATCGCCATATATCCAGGATCTAATCCTAGCAACATCGAAAATCCTCCTTGCGTCTGTACCAGATTGGCCGGTACCTAGACAAACATATCGTCTGACCCATATTAGGCGGCAGAGCGGCTGCTATTTAAATTTCTGGCTTAGGTACTTTCTAGCCATATTAAACAAAAACTCCATAAAACTTGTTCACGTGCCACCACATTTGATATCTTTAAACGATTCATCAAAAACTCGGCTAGAAAATGGGATTAACTCGTGAAAATTTTCCTTAATTTTTCAAAACTTTCGACTTGTATTATCATGATGAAATGAAATCTTTGTATGGTGATGTAGCAACATCCATAGCACTGTGTAAAAATGAATTTAATTATGGCCGATGCTCGCTCGAAGACGAAGGAAAAATTTGAAAGACGAACAAGAGAAGACTGATAATTGTGCACCATCTCAGTGCGATGTGTGAGAGACACATCAGCTGAAACCAGCGCCATTTCCACCATCCAAAGCTCGAATTGATGAGTCATCCGCCGTACCACCCTGACTTGGCACCCAATGACTTCTTATTATTCTTACACATCAAGTGAAAAGTGCTTGCTCAACGATTTTCGTTGACAGAAGATGCTGTTAGAGCGTTCAAAAGTCATGTTTTCGAGCTGTCTTAATCGAAATGGAAAATATGCATTGACAGTTGGTTTGAGCGCATGCAAAAGTGTATAAATCTCGCCGCAGAATACGTTGAAAAACAATAGAATAATTTTTGATAAATATTCCCATTTTTATTATTAGGCCAGAAATATTTATAGGTTGTAGCAAGGAGTGAAAACGAAATGCAAACAATTTTATAAATATCTCAGTCACACTGGGTTCAAAAACAAAAATGTAAACACACAAAAGCTCAAATGTAAAAGAGGCCGTAAAAAATGCTAAAGCAAGAGAGTGCGAGAGAATAACTTTGCTATCGACTGCGGCATGCAAACACACAAAAACAATATGCACGACAACATTTATATATAAAAAGTACCACCAGTACCACAAAATCATACAAAATTGACAAAAATCACCGAACACGATGTAAAAGCAACCGGTCACAAGCGACGCTAAGTCGAAGAAAAATTCCTTCTTACAGTCCTCACCGCCGAGTTTCGAAAAAAATTGTTCCCCGAATTCTGACCGCGAATTATTAGGAAATCTGCTAACTATGGACGACCAACATAAGGAGGGCTAATTAGCTGCAGCCTTGAATGAAGTTGACTCAATGAGTGGAGTTTTTCATAAAATGAAAGGTTGATCGACAATAGATCTCAAAGCACATAACACAAAAATATTTCGCAAATACAAAGAAGTGGCGTTGAGAACTTCCCTTATTATAATCCCTTTACTCAGCTTTCCAACTTAAAACAAGGTAGAACGCTATAGTTGAGTACCTCGACTATCAGATACCCGTAAAATTTTTTGTCTTGCATAAAAATTGTGGGCGCCACAGGTTTGGGCGGTTTATGGGCGTTAGAGTGGGCGTGGCACTCTGCTGAAACAAACTTGCGCTGCGCAGGAATCTCAGGAATCTGCATGCCTAATCCCAGTATTGTAGCTTGAATAGTTTCCGAGATCTCAGCGTTCATACGGACATACGGACATGGCTAGATCGACTCGGCTAGTGATCCTGATCAAGAATATATATACTTTATGGGGTCGGAAACGCTTTCTTCTGCCTGTTACACACTTTCCGACGAATCTGGTATACCCTTTTACTCTACGAGTAACGGGTATAATAAATTTGCCTTCGAGTAGATGCGAAAAACCCATCGATGTTCACATTTTAATCTACTTAACATTCTTACATTTAACATTTATCACTTTTGCTCACTGGCTGTGACGTCATTCAGCGTTCATACGGACAGACATACAGACGGACATGGTCATATCGACTTTTTGCAGTCGAAAACTCTTTCCTTTTCCTGATACATACTTTCCGACGAAGCTTATATACCAATTTACTCTACGAGTATACGATTTTCAAGCTGGTCCTAGAGAACGAAAATTTTTTTTATTGACAACCGAATATCAACAACAGGATCCTCCATAATATTAATAATAATACTTTACTTAAGCTGTAAACGTTTTTGTTTAAATACAAATGAAATTTAACAATAAAGTTAATAAAGTTACGATAACAAAAGATGTTGATATAAGGGGATCGGATTGCAAGGGGTACGCTTATTAAATGGCACACGATGTGTGAAAAGGAGAGGGTAGCAGGCCTTTGCTTCCCATGGAGTTTGGATCAATGTAATCGGAAGGCTTGCTGGCTCTCAATTGCTAACTCATAACTGAATTTTCACGTTGAGTGGTGTGGATATAAAACTTAAATAAGCTTTTCTAACACTTGCCATAAAAACAAAAATCTAGACAAACACCTAAAATAAGTTCTGATTATTTTTGAGAGCTGATAAGTTTAGTAAGCATTGCACAGCACAAACCCACAATACACCCGTCGACTTTATACCGGGCACTTCACTAACAAACCAACGAAACGGTCTTTTGCTCTGTATAATTTTTGTATTTTATATTTTATAGGCAATGAGAGCATTTATTGAATCCAATTTCAAGTTGCTTGACATAGACAGCGATGGAATAGTTGGAGTGAAAGAATACCGGTATAACTGCATAACTAGAGTAGCCATTGACGATATAACTCCAATTGATAAAGCCTTCGAAACATTGCTGAACGTAAGTTATCTTAAATATTTAAATGTAGTACAAGTCAAATGAGAACATTTCGGTTATTTAGGACGAGGATCGGAAACGCGGAGGACTTTCATTAGATCGCTACAAAGAACTATATGGGCAGTTCTTGGGTAACACGGCCGACAACCACCCAGCAGTTAATCTTTTTGGACCATTATAAATAATTAATTTACATTTAAATGTCTTCGCTGTTGTTCAACTACTATTTATTAAGTTTTATTTGTAATTACTATGACTTTAAACATATTACCATATAGAAATAATACATTCATATCATTTTGTGTAGAATCGTCAGATGACCAGTTCGTAATTTTTAAAGTTTTTAAACTAGTTAAGTGCAACTGCTCTCAGAAGTTAAAAATAGGCTAGGATGTTGACTTGCTCTCCCAAAATGGCTCTTTAGTTATAATCCTCTCTCTCAAAGCTTACAAGATTTCGAATATTTGTTGCGTTGAATAAAAGTTACAATTTATTGAAATACCAATTTAAAAAAAAACCATTTTTAAAACGTGGAGGAAATATACGTTTTGCGGTTAATAAACCATTAATAACAAATGCGGATGTATAGACCATTTAGGTCATTTTCTTTACATATATACATATACTATACTTTTCGAAAAATGGGTAAGCCCGTGAATCAGGCTTAAAAAAAAAATATTTTTTGTTGTTAAAATTTTTTATTAAAAAATCTTTTTTTTTAAAAAAGACTTTCTGTTTGAAAATGTTTATCTTCAGCTGTAGTAATCCGATTGACTTGGTTTCTTTTGTATTTATATCTCTGGAACCTCTTTTTTTACAAATAAAAATGTTTTTAAGAGACTAATTTTTTATATCTTAAAATTAAAAACAAGTTAAGATTTCACAAAACTTGTAATGCTTGCACCCACAAAAAGTGTTCTTTTTAATTTTAAGAAATGTACCCTTGCAGAGGGTATAATGATTTCAGTCAGAAGTTTGCAACGCAGTAAAGGAGACGTTTCCGACCCCATAAAGTATAAATATTCTTGATCAGCATGACTAGGCCACTCGATCTAGCCATGTTCGTCTGTCCGTCCGTTTCTACGCAAACTAGTCTCTCAGTTTTAAATACTATTCTTTTCGAAAAATGGGTAAGCCCGTGTATCAGGCTTTAAAAAAATATATATTTTGTTGTTAAAACTTTTTATTAAAAAACATTTTTTTTTAAAAAAGACCCTCTGTTTGAAAATGTTTATCTTCAGCTGTAGTAATGTGATTGACTTGGTTTCTTTTGTATTTATATCTCTGGAACCTCTTTTTTCAAATAAAAATGTTTTTAAGAGACTAATTTTTTAATATCTTAAAATTAAAAACAAGTTAAGATTTCACAAAACTTGTAATGCTTGCACCCACAAAAAAGTGTTCTTTCTTAATTTTAATAAATGCACCTTGCAGAGGGTATAATGATTTCAGTCAGAAGCTTGCAACGCAATGAAGGAGACGTTTCCGACCGCATAAAATATATATATAAAATAAAATATATATATATGACTAGACGACTCCATCTAGCTATGTCCGTCTGTCCGTTCGTTTCTACGCAAACTAGTCTCTCAGTTTTAAAGCTATCGGACTGAAACTTTCCCAAAAGTCTTATACCTTTTGCAGGTAGTATATAAGTCGGAACCAGCCGGATCGGACAACTTCATCATATAGCTCCCATAGGAATAATCGGAAAAAAAATGTAAATGATATCTTTGGTGTTTTTTAACATATAACCTTCTAAGCTTGGAAATAACATTTTTTGATTAGTTTTGAATTTCGAATTCATTTTTAACAAGATTGGACGACTATATCATATAGCTGCCATAGGAACGATCGGAAAATTAGTGGGAAAAAAATGAAACAAATTATAGCTTCGGTGTTTTCTGACATATTATCTTATACTATTGAGAATATAATTTGTTGTATTTTTAAATTTCATAATTATAATTGCAAGGGTATACAAGCTTCGGCTTGCCGAAGTTAACTTCCTTTCTTGTTTAACTTCAAAGCGTTCATCGTAAGGTGGTTGAAGGGATGCGCGGACGGTGTCGTTGCGTAGTAAGACGTAAGTTGCCTGTTTCAACTCTATAAAATCAAATAGTTTAGAGAAATCGTGATGTGCCGTCTGGATGGACCGTATTTCTCTCATAATTTTTCCTCCTACAAGGCGAAGGGTTGCGCCGTACACAAGTTGTGCTGATGTTGTTTGGATGTCTGGCTTGAATGCTGAATGCAACCCGAGCAGGATTAGTGGAAGTATGTACATAATGGCTGCCTTTACTGTTCTGTTGTGAGAAGGTAGTCTATTTCTAGCATTCCTGACAATTAATGGACTAATTTGGACTGGAACTGTCTGCCCTGGTCTCTTGTGATGCCGGCTGGAACTCAAAATCTTGAGATCCACGAGCCGATGAGTGCTGAGTCTACCGGGTTGGCACACTCAAAAAAATAATCACCATAAATATTAGAAAATCGACCGTGACTTTAAAACGCCATTGAATTAAGAAATATTTTCTTGAATTAAGAAATAGTTCCTTGATTATAGAAAAAATTTCAAAAAATTTCGGAATTTCGCCATAATTTTTTTTTAAGAAGAAAAGGAAGAATTGCAATTTTTTCTTTAACTTATGGCGGATTTTTCTTGCTTTTTTTTCTTGAAATAATGGTAAATTCTTACTTAAATTTAGTAAAGAAATACCCATATTTAAGGGAAAAGTGACTTTTTTTTTTATAGATTTTGATGGTGGTCTAGCTGGTAAAGACGTCCGGTCAATAAACAATCGTACAAAAGTATCTGGTTCGAGCCCACTCCACGCCAACTGTACCCTTTGTTTATTTATTTTTCTCTTTTTTAATTTTATTTAATTTTTAGACGTTAGACGTTAAGACGTCTGGATATGGTGTGAGCAGTTGCGTGTTCGAGTTTATGTCGGGGTTGTCTGAGGTAAGGATTTTTCCATTTGTTATTTATATAATTATAAAAAGTATTTATATAAAATAAATCTTTAATAAGTTTAGGTAAATATAAAAATGTATATATATATATAGTCTCCCATGTAATAATTGCCATTAAAATTCGAAACGGTTTTGTCCATTTAAAATCCAAAATTGGTATACAAAAAACCAAATTCCTCAAATGTAAAAAAAGATAATCTTATATTAAAAATAATATTTTTTTTATTTTAAGAAAATTTTCTTTAATTTTAAGGTTTTTTACCATACATTTAAGAAAAATTTGTCATTATTTCCAGAAATGGCAAACCATAAATTCAAGAAAATTATTTATTTAAAATAAAGGCGAGTCGCCGTTGGATGAAAATTATAAGAGACTCGAATTGATGAGTCATCCGCCGTACAGCCCTGACTTGGCACTCAATGACTTCTTATTTTTCTTACACATCAAGTGAAAAGTGCTTGTTCAACGATTTTCGTGACAGAAGATGCTGTTAGAGCGTTCAAAAGTCATGTTTTCGAGCTGTCTTAATTGAAATGGAAAATGTGCATTGACAGTTGGTTTGAGCGCATGCAAAAGTGTATAAATCTCGCCGCAGAATACGTTGAAAAACAATAGAATAATTTTTGATAAATATTCCCATTTTTATTATTAGGCCAGAAATATTTATAGGTTGTAGCAAGGAGTGAAAACGAAATGCAAACAATTTTATAAATATCTCAGTCACACTGGGTTCAAAAACAAAAATGTAAACACACAAAAGCTCAAATGTAAAAGAGGCCGTAAAAAATGCTAAAGCAAGAGAGTGCGAGAGAATAACTTTGCTATCGACTGCGGCATGCAAACACACAAAAACAATATGCACGACAACAGTTATATAAAAAAGGTACAACCAGTACCACAAAATCATACAAAATTGACAAAAATCACCGATCACGATGTAAAAACAACCGGTCACAAGCGACGCTAAGTCGAAGAAAAATTCGTTCTTACAGTCCTCACCGCCGAGTTTCGAAAAAATTGTACCCCAAATTCTGACCGCGAATTATTAGGAAATCTGCTAACCTAGTTGAGAACTTCCCTTATTATAATCCCATTACTCAGCTTTCCAACTTAAAAACAAGGAATAACGCTATAGTCGAGTACCTCGACTATCAGATACCCGTACAATTTTTTATCTAGCATAAAAATTGTGGGTGCCACAGGTTTGTGCGGCTTATGGGCGTTTGAGTGGGCGTGGCACTCTGCTGAAACAAACTTGCGCTGCGCAGGAATCTCAGGAATCTGCATGCCTAATCCCAGTATTGTAGCTTGAATAGTTTCCGAGATCTCAGCGTTCATACGGACATACGGACATGGCTAGATCGACTCGGCTAGTGATCCTGATCAAGAATATATATACTTTATGGGGTCGGAAACGCTTCCTTCTGCCTGTTACATATTTTCCGACGAATCTGGTATACCCTTTTACTCTACGAGTAACGGGTATAATAAATTTGCCTTCGAGTAGAGGCGAAAAACCCATCGATGTTCACATTTTAATCTACTTAACATTCTTACATTTAACATTTATCACTTTTGCTCACTGGCTGTGACGTCATTCAGCGTTCATACGGACAGACATACAGACGGACATGGTCATATCGACTTTTTGCAGTCGGAAACTCTTTCTTTTTCCTGATACATACTTTCCGACGAAGCTTATATACCAATATACTCTACGAGTATAAGGTTTTCAAGCTGGTCCTAGAGAACGTAAATTTTTTTTATTGACAACCGAATATCAACAACAGGATCCTCCATAATATTAATAATAATACTTTACTTAAGCTGTAAACATTTTTGTTTAAATACAAATGAAATTTAACAATAAAGTCCCTACATAATTACGATAACAAAAGATGTTGATATAAGGGGATCGGATTGCAAGGGGTACGCTTATTAAATGGCACACGATGTGTGAAAAGGAGAGGGTAGCAGGCCTTTGCTTCCCATGGAGTTTGGATCAATGTAATCGGAAGGCTTGCTGGCTCTCAATTGCTAACTCATAACTGAATTTTCACGTTGAGTGGTGTGGATATAAAACTTAAATAAGCTTTTCTAACACTTGCCATAAAAACAAAAATCTAGACAAACACCTAAAATAAGTTCTGATTATTTTTGAGAGCTGATAAGTTTAGTAAGCATTGCACAGCACAAACCCACAATACACCCGTCGACTTTATACCGGGCACTACACTAACAAACCAACGAAACGGTCTTTTGCTCTGTATTAATTTGGTATTTTATATTTTATTGGCAATGAGAGTATTTATTGAATCCAATTTTAAGTTGCTTGACATAGACAGCGATGGAATAGTTGTAGTGAAAGAATACAACATTTCGGCTATTTAGGACGAGGATATGAAACGCGGAGGACTTTCATCAGATCGCTACAAAGAACTATATGGGCAGTTCTTGGGTAACACGGCCGACAGCCACCCAGCAGTTAATCTTTTTGGACCCTTATAAATAATTAATTTACACTTAAA